TTTAGTGCTTTGGACATGAGACTTTGCTTGTCAGATACTGTTTTCCCAGATTGCTGGAGACTATTGCAGGGGCGACTCAAAGGCAAACGCCCTTCTATCATTGGGACAGGGGAATATTTGCTGGTTTCAGAAATGTCCCTGTCGAGTGTGCCTTTGTTTGCATAATAACTGTAACTGTTGTACGTAGTAATCAGAAGCATCCTAGTCTGTGTGTGTGTGTGTGGTGTTGGAGGTTTCTTCTCACTGTCGTGATTTGACAGCCCGGCTTGCACATCCATGTCAACCTTGGGGCGGGGAATTCAAGAGGTACGCGTGGAAGTCAGACCCGTGCCCCTCCGGGATGGACAACTCTTAGTGTGCAGCTGCAGGTTTTGGCCCGTGCTCTTCGAGGGATCGAGCGCGCTGGCGCGTGATTTCGGGATGGCCACTCGTGTGTACTTTCGGGGCAGCTTTTGCTGAACGAGCTTGGTTTTGCATCCCTCCCCATGGACACTGAAATGAGCTCAGCCATAGGGCACAGGCCCAGGCCATGTGAAGGTACGATTCTTGCCCGCAGGGGCCACAGTTGCAGGAGGGTTCAGGAAAATGTCGAGAAACCAGCACGTCACAGTGTCAACGAAGTGACAGTAGCTGTAGTCGTACGCGCAGCATCAGACTCAGGAGTAGCAGGAGAAGTGGAGGTAGTATAGGTGTGGTGCTAGCAAGTGTCGTCGCGCGTCTACAGCTGTCCACGTGTAGACAACCCTAAACCCTAAACCCTAAACCCTAAACCCTAAACCCTAAACCCTAAACCCTAAACCCTAAACCCTAAACCCTAAACCCTAAACCCTAACCCCCCCCCCCTTGTAGCTGAGGTTTTCTCTATCTTGTCGACTTGGTGGCTCCAGATGCCGGGCTTCTGTTGGGTCTTGAGAATTAGTTTGCTTTCTTCTCGTATACCACATTAAGAGTATATGTAATTGTAGCATGCTGCTGTTGCATGACGGTAGTACACTCCACACCTGCGTTTGCAAGACTTGGTCCGTGCCCTCAACCCTACACTTCTGACACCAGATGCTGTCACAGAAAGCAAAACCTCAAATTTTGATAAAAAATGCAAAAACAATTTTTTTAAAGAAGCATGCTATTTTCCAAAAGTATGAAATTAGTACGATTTTAATACGATTTTAAACTATTGTGGTTTTGGTGTGTTTTTTCGTATTGTTTTCGTATTGCTCTTCCGTGTGCAGCTGAGGGGAGTGTTGACGGTGTGAAGGGAGGGGGGGAGCGAATTTTCAGGAATTCTGCAAATGTAGCAAAACACAGTGTAAAATATGAACTGAATACGAATTTAATATGAATTTAATACGAATTTATTCCGAAACTAATTCGAATTTAACATGAATTTAATACGAGTTTAATATGATTTTAACACGAATGCAAGCCTGCCCATTTATTTAAGTCATATTAAATTCATATCAAAATCGTGTCCTGCGAAATCGCCCAAAATCCAAATCGTTTTTTTTTTATATTTCTTTATATTTCTTTATATTTCTTTATATTTCTTTATATTTCTTTATATTTCGGGAATACGTACATTCGTGTTAAATTCGAGTTAAAGTTGTAAAAAAGTGTTTATGGTTTCGGGCCTGTGACAGCACATACACTGTCATAACCCTTCACCACTGTTGGGCATTTTTGGTTGGGCTTTCGAGTTGTGTGCGTGTGTGTACAATCCTATGATCGAAGGATTCATGTGATTGCCGTAGATTTACAGCAGGCCAGCGCATGATCCTGTGACACTGGCCAACGAAGCTGGCAGCATCATGGGAAGAGGTCAGGGCCCAACCTTGTATCCGCTTGAACCAGTGTTCTAAAGTCGGGGCCTTCTCGATGCTAGAAAGGTCCGACAGCCGGGCCCAGAAAACATCTTCTGGCTAGTTCCTTCGAGGGTGTCCAAGTGTAACAGTAAGTGCAAGTGCAAGTGTAAGTGAAAGTGTAAGTGTAAGTGTAAGTGTAAGTGTGTGTGCGTCTGCGTCTGCGTCTGCGTCTCTGTCTGTGTGTGTGCGTGGTCTCTCTCTCTCTCTATCTTTGTCTCTGTGTGTGTGTGTGTGCGTGGGTGCGTGCCTGCGTGCCTGCGTGCTGAAGCAGGGATGGTGCCTATAAAGTTTTGCACCGTAGCTTAACTAGCAGAATCCCCGCACTTTGATATAAATCACATGGTTCCTGATTAGGTGTTGGGGTTGGGGCTTAGTGTCCCAACAAGCATCATCTTGATGAAGCTGCAGCATGCGCTTGCTACGTTTTGAAGCTAGTATGCCCCACCTCTCTTTCCCAACTGCAGCATGCTCTTCGCGACAAAGAGCGGCAAGTCAAATTGCAGACCATTTAAGCCTTGGAGACGCAATGCCACGCAATCATGCCGACCCGTTTTGCAAGTGTGCAGCTGCCCAGCTTCCTCCAGCAGCACAGGAAGGCGCTGGTCTGTGCCAGGGCAGCTCATCGGCGGCTCCCGTTCTCGGTGTTTCGAGTACTCATGGCCCTCACAGGCAGCACTGGGGTTGATGAAACATCAGGGCTATTTGCGGATTGCGTAGCTAAACGTAAAGAATCGGAAGAGGGGGTCTTGGGGTAGAAGCAAGCAAAGAAAACACCAGTGGTTATTGACGTCCAGGTTGTGGCCATCATTGCGCCTTCCTCGAGTTTTCAAGACTTGGAACTCCAAGCTGTCAACAAAGTGCAAGTGTACCATAATACTGCTCAGTCTGTTTGGCCCAGTACACGCCTCGGGCAGTTCTCTGCAGAAGGGACGAGCACGCAATGCCCATGGAAGGCCCCTGTGCCAGGCCAACTCAAACCCAAGACCTTTCCAGCCTATGAGGTGCTAGAACCTTTATACCAGCCCGCATATATGTACGTCTATGAATATAGATATCCTACTAAGTCCGGATTCTAGCACCATTTCCTACGAAGGCTCTGCGCATGTCCAGCTTAGGATGCAAAGCATTCCTAGGTATTCCTAGGTATTCCTGGCTACCGGCAATTGCAACTTGTGGTTTATAGGAGTATTGATGGGCGATCCATAGAGAGACGCTTCTTAGCTGAAGAGTACGTCTGGTTCCCCGGCCACCTGTTTGCGCACTCGAGATCTTAACATGTTTGGGATGACAAGATAGGTTTAGGGTGAACTCACGAATCCAGAAACCAGAAGGGACCGTGATTTTTGCTGTGGAGTATCCTGATCACGAAGGACGTGAAATCCTGAGGTTGTTTCTTCAGGGAGATCTGCAAACCTGCTTCATTTGAGACACAAAACATAGTTCCCAATCAGCCCTGTGAATCCCCCTGTGAGTCCTAAGAGGATGCTGCCTTTACTCCAGCTCGGTGGTCCCTACAGCCCATACATTAGACCATATAGTATCTGATGCTGAAGTATAGTTTGCTCTTAGAAGCACCTCTATAGGGACTATCTGTGCCCAAAGTAGCTGCTATATCGTACCTTTGGAGCCCAGATAGATCTATATAGGTACATTGCAGCAATGGCTTAGGGGCCCAATTCTATACGAACTCTAGCCCCTAACCCGTAAGCCCCGAACCCTAAACCCCTTTGGGTTCAGGCTGGTTGGGAAACCTCGCGCTGTTGCCTCGTGGCATCGAGCTCCGAACAAGGAAGTTCCCTATGAGCGTTGGCGATGCACTGGTGGTGCGCCAGGAGTTGCGGGTGGTATACTGTAGCATAATACAATTTTTTCTATAGTAGCGATGGTAGACTACATAGTAGCTCATCAGAGTGTACTACATTATACCGTAGAATGCTCTAGTGTTACTTGTTTTGTTTTATTGCTGTGCTTCGTTTTCTATGCCTCTATGCTACAGTACAGGGATGCGCTGCATCAGCATCGTATACTCGAGTACGGTTTAGCATGCTCAAGGGAAAGGAGCGATAGGGATAAGTGTAGGACTAAACCCTAAACCCTAAACCCTAAACCCTAAACCATCATGGCTGTGGGTCTACAGCTTCCTAACACGACCTCTTTTGCGGCTCAAAAGGGTTGCTGGGGTGGGAGCGAATATAATGTACATACGCAGGTATAGCATTATGCTTCGAATGTGTATGTATGTATGTATTTGTTATGTATGTATGTATGTATGTATGTATGTATGTATGTATGTATGTATGTATGTATGTATGTATGTATGTATGTATTCTTGATCTATATATATAGGTTTAAAATTTGTAGCTTGTAGTCCTGGCCAGTCGTATATGGAGCCTTGTAAACTGCCACAAAGTTGCCTGTTATACAATAACTATTGCTCAAATACCACAAGAACCCAGGCATGAGTGATGGTACCGGCATGTGAGACTTCCTTCCCTCCCTGTGTTGCTGCAGCTTGCTCTCGCCCCGTTGGGGACGGGGTGCCTGCGGCAATCCTTGCGACAATTCTCTTCCTGATCCCTGGAATCTCTAGGGGCAACTCCCTCAACTAGAGTTTCTCTGGGCGGAACCCCGCAAAATGGCAAGTGGCCCTCCGGAACTGCCCGTATGAGGATCTCTGCATGAGTATACTTTGCAGAGTGTACAGGGTTTCGGGTTTATGTACTATATCGCGTAGGCGGCCGGGGGTCGGGGGTGGGGGGGACGGGGGACGGGGGGACGGGGGGACGGGGGGGTCATGATTTTGAGCTTCCAACGCCTAAGAGTGCTAAACCTAAAGTTGGCCTATCACCCTGGATCGTTGAACGCGCTGGGCACAGATTGTAGTCTTGTCACCCTGGCAATGTAAAATCATGAAAAATCCGAAGTAACATTCTTGGATGGTGCAAGATCCAAGGACAAAGTGTTGGACATGTCACCTGCGACGGTGTAAAGTCCTACGCAAAATTCGCACATGCAGCTTGTGAGAATGGTGAACCAAAAACGGGAAAAGGGTACCACTGGTTGTCCAGAACAATGACAGGGGAGAGAAGTTGTAACATCAAGACTCACAGTATTTTTGGCAAGAGTACTGGTAATCGTAAAGTAATGGTTGTAGCTACAGTAATAGTTATTAAGTAATACTCGGGAAGCACGTCAAGGTTCCAAGTCATATTTGCAACTTCGACGAGTCTGCGCTGCTTCGACAGAATCTGCAAGTTGGGGGGGGGGGGGGGGGGGGCCCAGATATGCCGTATTTTCTGTACTTTATCGTGTCTGTTTCACGAAAACGAAGATTCCTTGTGCTCCGACGTTTACCTCTTGTTGGATTTGCAACGGATGCGGCTGAAGCCATATGCAACTGCTCGACTGCGGACGCGTCTTCTGCAAACAGGGTGCTGGGAGAAACTCTTCGCAGTCTAAATCCCATATTCGAAACGTAAAGTAACCAGTTACTGAGCCACCAAGTTACTCTATGCTCTTCTGATTATGCTCTTCTGATTCCTATTTCGCTCTATCTTCCGTGCAGGACGAGCTTCATGTCTCGGACCAGGACAGGCTGGAGGATGGCCAGTTCCGTTTGGCAGTGGGATTGAAGTTCATGAACCAACACCACAAGGTGGGGCGACTGCAAAAAGAAAACGAACCAGCTTGCAGTATGCGATACCTCCTATCTAAAGTACAATACCATGTGGTTAGACTGTTGGTCTTGAATCATAGACCTCCAAAATCCCAGAATCCTGGCCGTTGTGATCACGGAACTAGCTGGTGGTGGCCATTTGCACGTTCTCACCATGTTCCCAACACCCCCCCACCCAACAATGGATATGGAATGACAACAACAACAGCGGATGGCGGCTCTTAAGTGACAAAAGAGGCGGGTTCTAAGGCCTACGTAGTAGGCGGTTCAGTCTCCCATGTTCGGTTTAACTGGTTGATTGCTAGTTTCTCTGCCACTTTTCGTTGAACCTTACTATCCCTGCTTCTGGTTTGTTTTGTCTTATCTTTGTTTGCCATTGTTGAGCTGTGCACCCCATTGGCCCGAACTGTTTTGCCAAAACTGTCAGGGGTCCGTGGTAGTATTTACCATGCTTTGTTTTTTCCCGGCACAGAATTTAGTATCTGCTTGTAGTCTGCTCTAAGCCGTTGCTATGATGACTGTATAGATTGTAGGTTTGTGTGATGAATGCATGGAGCACTTTACTCTTCTCCCGCGGTCCCGTTGAATGTTTCATTCAGATGTCTATGAAGGTCTTGAAGGTCAGTTCATGGTTTGTCCCGAAAGGCACTTCTTTTTTGAGAAAATTCATGCATAAGCCCTATACGGATCTCGGCCCCCCTCAGGGAGTTCGACTAGCAGGTGGCAGGCAAACGAGTTATACCAGTACTCCGGAATATAGCTACAGTAAATATGCTTATTGCAAGAACCCCGCACCCCGCCCTTACTGTCAAATCTCCTGGCCCAGGTATGGAAGTACCCCTTCCTTGGCCCAGCGGGCAAAAGTCGCAGGCAATACCCTGCGCTGCGCCTACCTTGGGGCAGGCTCGAAGTGGGTTTAGAGTTTTAGGGCTTCAGGAATCAAACAACACGATTGGGAAGGGTTCTGTGGGGGGTTATGATGATGTGGTATAGTACAAGATAGTAAACTGTTCGATCCTACACTGCATTTTTGTGAAGTCTAGCCCACATTAATTTCAATGAATATCTAACGACTGTGTAGGGTTCTGTGGGAGTCGACTAGAGTTCTGGTACAAGGTACACTGGGATGTATATAGGCCGGGAGTTCTGACTGTAGCGAAACAGTCAGGCATTCATTCATTTTGGACACATGGTTTAGGGTTTCGGGTGTAGGGTGTAGGGTTCAGGAGACGGGGGAAAAGCTGACATAAAAAGGGAGACGAGTTCCGATCACCGTTAGTCATGCTCGTTGTCATATGTTTCAACCAGTTGACTGGCCTTAAACCGGCGTGCCCTTGCAGTGTCCTGGCTTCCCCCGACAAATTTCACAAAGTGATGAAAAACAGCAAGTACATGAATGGTCGCGAATAAGGTGGAGATAGTGATGAAAGATGACGATCCTGATCCGACTTTATTCATGAACAGGAGAAGAAGAGCACCTCTGTACGAATCATAAGAACAAGAATTAAGAGTCAATCCAATAGTCATTAATGATACCAACAACAGACAAGAACAACTGCAACACTCATATGACCAAACGCACAGCAACATCAGCAAACGTAGCGAGAGTAGCAACAGTAGCGATGGTGCTGTATCCTGCTGACCTTCCACTAACGCTTGCTTGCTCGGGTCGCTCATACTACTCTCCGCTCCGACCCCATCCAGCCAATTGCCTTTGTTCCAGATTCGGGGGGGGGGGGGGGGGTTAGGAAGGGAGAGGTAGTGAGGTCCTCCGAATCATTTGGGAGACGTTTGTCCGTATAGACATCTGCCCTGGCAAGCGGCCCCCCAGTGCATTTGGGTTAGGGTTTGGGGCTTAGGGGCCACTCATCCAGGAAATGTTTCGTGTGCCCTTTTTCCCTTGTCCAGCAAGGTCTGCGCAAAGTTCTATCTCAGTTTCATGGAGCTGCCCTTATGGTCCATGCGCTGCTGCTTTAACAGCTTCTCAGTTTGAGCATATTCCAATCTGCTTTCGCGCCGCCCGGGGATCTTGAGAAATATGTCGTGTCTTCCTTGCACCACAACGCGAAGCGCCTATTCAAGAACCTTGTCCATGGCCTCCTACACATAGGACTCATAGGACTGCTTAGCACTGGGCTGGGGCAGCACCCACAGCAACATCCCAGTAACTGGAGTTTCTGTTCCTCGGGAAAGGGGCTCCAAACAGGTCTTAAAGCTCACAGGGATCCTAATCGGTCATGAGTTTGGGGTTCAGGGTTGAGGGTGTTGTTTCGTACTAGTTGAATACTAGTTACTAGTTTTCTTCTTGTGAACATGTGTTGCTATCACCGTGATCAGGTTACACTTACTGTCGTCCTGCCTCTTCTGGATAGGGCTCGAACCACCCGCTCTCTAAGATGAAGGTTGTACTTGGAAGCACGCAAGTCTTTTGGGCACTCAGGCACGCCCTCCCCCCCCCACCCCCGAACCTCCAAAACCCTAAACCTAAACCCCCAAACAAAGACCCTGCCAGGTCCTTGAAAGATGTTTACCGCCAGCACGGCTTGGACATGAGCACGTACCCTGAGTCCTGGCTACGGGGGCTCTTCGCGTCGTTTTCCTTTCGCCAGGCGTAGGACTAATTACTCAGGACTTCCTGAGTTCACTCCCTGGGGTTTAGGGTTAGGGCTATGTAAGTAAGGCTACCACTGGTAATCTCTGTGAGGAGCTACATAGAAGGCTAAACGAAACCTGAATCTCAAAACCAGAAATTCCAGTGTAGACCAGCTCCCACATAATGTCCAGGGTTTGAGGCGTTTAAGGTCTGGAGTGTCAACCACGAAATTGGAGAATAACTGGCTGCCGCTTCAGCTTGAACTTCGGGCTAGCCAGCTTTTTGTTTGGGTATACTTTACAAGTTTACGATTTCGCAGAAGCTTTCTTTGTTGTTGATAATACGCTGAGCAGCAAAGTTTGTGAAGCACAGCGAAGCCTCGAATGAGAACAGCTTACAAATGCTGTGGGTAGAGCTCCGAGCCGTTCCCGCATGCCAAGTGGCAAAAGCTGGCTGGCGCAGTTTTTGAGCCTCAAGAAGCGTCAATCTTGTCCCCCCGCCCCCCAATGCACGGAACCTTTCTTCCTGAAAAAACATGATCAGGACGATGTTCGATTACGACTATTGGGATTCAGAGTCCCGTACTGTCTCTAAGCAAACAAGAGTAGATGAGAATGCCGTAAAGGTGGTTCTCGAGCCCGGCCTAGGCCCTTAGCAATGAGCCTGAAATCGCGAGAGTTATGTAAGCTTTCTGTGGGGCCGTAGCTCACTTTTTTTCGATCTCTATAAAGGATGGTATTAGATTCTGCAAGGTTTTGGGGCGGATTTGCGCTGTAGCGCGTAACTGGAGTAGCAACAGGTGCGGCGCCAGAGCGTGAACCAGAGCCATCACAAACCCCTGCGAAGCTGTTAGTTCACTGAGACATGCCCGTGCGTTTCCTCTCAGGCGTTGCGTCAAGACAAAGCCCCCAAAACGAGACTGTGGCCCAGCATGATTCTGACCCGAGGAATCAACTCTTCATGTTTGAGTCCTGAAACTACTCGAAGTATTGAGAATCCTGAATCGACCCCGGAATGTAGGATTGCCATCCCACCTAGTATAAGTCCCTGCAACAAGAACTATTGGACCTTGTAGTACCTTAAGTACATGTCCACCATGCGGGTACCGCCTGGTCCTGCCGCCTACCTCACAGCGGGCTTGGCGGTGGGATATGCTGCCTGGAGATAGCATTCCAAGACATGTCAGAATTCTTGGCATTATTGTTTGCGTGCGTCGGCTGCTATCATCAGTATGATTGCTGCATAGTAAGTATGATCAGTACGTCAAGGACGCGTCTCCGCTGGGCCCGAGCACTTCAAACTCTCAATGCAACGGCTTTGAGGAAACAAAAGACAGTAAACCCTAACCTTGAACCCAGACTGCGAAACCTGGGAGTTCTCTCTCATGAAACCTGCGCATGCAGCCCGAGTAACCAGACTAATCTACCCCTTGCCTTGTTCTCGAGACCTCGGGCTCTCAGCCATCATAGGCAAATATTGAGCATGCTTCTCGGGGTCCAAGGATCAAGTGCACGGGGTGATCTGTTACCACATCGTAACCGTGACAAGATTTGTGCATTCCAGGGTAAGCTATTTCCTGCATCCCTCGTCGGGAGTACGGCGAAGGATTGTCACGACCGAGGAAAGGGTGAGAAGTCATGTATGGTTTAGGGTTTAGGGCTTATAGGCATTAGGGTTGATGGCTGGTTTGTGCCCATGGGCTTTGCACCCTTGCGTCTTTCGGGCCCATTACCCTCATCAGGCACCATCGCGGATCAGGGATCCATCGCCCAAGTGCGCACCCTCTGTCCTATGCCAGCTTTAACCGTTAGCCCAATACTGCTGCCCTCAGTGATGAACGTTAATGACAGAGAACCTCACGAAAACTCCACAAAAGAGAGCCTCACAGCATGCCATCCATCAAGCCTTCTTCCGAGCTCCCACATCATCCTATGCGAACCACCTCCACGGAATAACTCTTCGCAATGCTTTGGCAAACAAAAAGACCCCGTAGCCTCCTCCTGTGACTGTGATACCTTAAAGCCTGAACCTTAAACTACGGAACGAAGCTTCCTTGAGGCTTTCTTCCACTGGTGGGTCTGGGATTGCCAACACCGTGCCTTCCCAGCCCCTGGGGCCGTGAAAGGAGTTTCACGAGGCTTTAGCTTTTAGGGGTTTGCGGGTTTGAAAGGTTTAGGGCTGTAACGCCTTATGACGGGAGTCACCTACGACTCAATCAAGCCTTGAAGGTTAGCTGTAAGTAGATTTTTAGGCTATCCCCCCCCCCACCTAGAGCTACTTAGTAGGTCAACAAACGCTTCTAGCGAGATTGAATATTGCCGTGCCTTTTTTTCATGCTGTCGCAACATATTGCGCTATACTCTTGGAGGAAGATCATATCCAAACAATGTATCTGTCCATGGGGTTCTCAAGACTTTGAGCCTCGGTTGCTATCCGAAAAATGATGACGGTTCTGGTTTCGTTGAGATCTTAGTTGCAAACGCTCGCGCGCCCCGCCTCGGCAGCCGGGCCGGCCCGTGTCCCAAGGCCCAGGAAACTCCAAAAACCTTTTCAAAGGTCCCAACCAAATCAATGAGAAACCTCAATGAAACCCCAACATGCGTGAGGCTTTGTAGGTCGCAAGGAGGTTGGGCGGTAGTAGGGGTCCCAAGGCTGGTCCAGGTTATAGGAGGGTCCCAAAAAAAGGGTCCCAAGGAAGTTGCGAGACCAAAAAGTGGTCAGGGGCAGTTTTCTGGCATTTTTACTGGGCGGCCCCCCTTTGTACGAGCCGCCGACAGGTGCCACGGCATCAATACGCAGCTCCTCCAATGTGTGCTTTGGGGAGTGGATGTGATTCTCCATATTTCCGGTGTCTCCAGAACCGGAGTACCTGGGGGAGTGTAGGAGGTCACAGTCTCCATTCCCAAAAACTTATATCCGGCACTGGTATCCTCGTAATCGGAAGAACAACTGCGGGTCGGCCCTTGGGATATTTTCATATGTTCCCTCGTTGAGTTTAATTGGGCCATGTTCGTGCTTGCAATACTTTGCAAAAAGCGCGCCCATAAATCCAGACAAACCCATATAAACCCGTACCATCCCATAGCAACCCAATTTAAAAGCCTTCTAGACCCATATAAACCCATCTAAAGCCTGAACCCTCAAGCCAAGGCGATGCGCGGCACCTACCCCGCGGTTTGGTCGATGCCTTCGGCGCATCGCCTGACCCTGGAGCGGCTCTGGAGGCCTTCTCGTCTCGTGTTAACCTAACACTTTCCGTGAATGAAGCATAGTATGCCCACAGCACACTGTGTAATAATAACAAGAATAACAATCAGACAATATTATTAGTTAGTAATAAGAATAATACTCATAATAATATGTATATATATATATATGTGACACAATAGGGTTTCGGATCGAGCCTGTTTGTCAGGTATTGCTTAAAGCCCCAGGGCGCATGTAGCTCGTCCAGCCGTTGGGAAGCATCCGGCATCGCCCGGGTGGCATCGCCACTTGAGGCGAAAGAGATCCAGGGCCAGAAAAGCGGTCAAGGCACTAAAGGTTTCTGGTCGCCCTGCTTGGAAAAGGGACCTGCTTACGCTGGCCTCCCACCATACAGCTTCCCGCCTTGCTAGACCCCAGATGGGCACGCACAATCAATGGGCAAATCAGGCTCCAAAAGCGCACGCAACCAGAAGAGCCAGCAACAGCAACAACAGCACGCTAGGCAGAAAGACGAATTAGCGCAGTTTCCATCCTACCACCAGATTCAAGTCGGGGACAGCTCTGCAAAGAGAAGTCAGTCGTCTCAGCAGGACAGTGTCATGGAAGGAGATGGGAATATGCCAGATTTTGTGAAACTCCTCCAGAAACTCCTGAACAGTGCGAGAAAGTGCGAACAGCGGCAGGGAAAGTTGCTATCCGACAAGAGCTGAAGAATGGCCAGTGGCAGAAATTCCAGGCGTCACTTCAGCGCAAAAAAATCGTGGAGCAAAGTTCCCTCTGCAACAAGGAGACGGAGGAGCTGGCTGCGCAGAGGCTTGCGATTGTTGGCAAGATCCAAGCAGCAGTTGCGGGGGATACAATACCAGGAGAAGGCAGTGCCCCTTCCCCTGCCGCCCCCTCAAGCGAAGACTTGGCTGCATGGAACGCCCTTATGACGGGCCCGATGAACGCAGAGCCCCCCCCCTACGCAGGAGGAGATCCTTTGCAGAGCCTTAAGTTTAGCCAGGAATCCCACGCCGTACCTCACCAGTGGCCCCGATTTGCGCAAGCTTACCACTGCCATGGGTACAGAGCCTTTGCAGGCCCAGGCTTCAGAAACACAAGTTTCGCAACTTGGCAACCCTGGTTTCTGCACCCCGCTCATTTCTCCGGCGTTGCAACAGGCGCCGCTTTTCACTCACAGCAACAACACACAGGAATGTCTGTAACACCAGGCCAATGCTTACCGTACGCAGGTACCTCACCGATGGCGATGACCGATCCATACATGTCGTCGCCCTCAGATGTCAGGGCTCTTACAGGAATGGATGTGTCCAAGACTTCTACAGGCGTGAGAACCCCGGTCAAGGAAAGTGCCAGACCATCGGCAGTAGCCAGGCCTGCTACAGAACACCCTACCTTGGCCGACCGCCTGCAAGCCCGGAGGAATGCTGCGTCGGCTGCAATCGATGTAACGCGCACTGGTGCTACGCCGCCGGAGGATGGGAACTTGGATGGAAAGTCGGTAGATGGAGGTACCAGGCACTTCAGCCTCGCGGGCGAGGACGACGAGGAGTCTCGGACTTCGAGATTTTGGGAGCATCGTGATACGCGCTCCTGTGGATGGAGCTCTCTCCACGGACGATGGGTGCTCTCGTAGCGCGGTGCCCGTCTTTGATTGATCCTTTCGAAGCTGCTTGTTGGGGCCGGCTCGTGGCCGCTCAGGCGGGAGAAGCTGGGTCGTTCCAGGCTGCCGCGCTTGCGCTCTACAGGCAGACGCTGCACCATCAGTGCGCTCATTGACCTTCCAAGTCCCACCACGCTTGTCCACGTGGA